GGCTGGCCAGGAGGGGGCTTGGCTGGGGGGAACAAGCCAGCTGGGAGCAGGGCTGTCCAGAAGGGGAGCGAGGGGAGAGAATTGGCCAGTGGGGTTGTCCAGGAAGGAACTGGCCGGCGGGGAGCGGGGTTGGCCAGGAGAGGGTCTGGGGGAGCAGGGCTGGCTGGCTGGGAGGGGGGCAAATTGGCCGGTGGGGAGCAGGGCTAGCCAGGAAGGAACTGGCCGCGTGCTGCCCGTCCTGCGCATGGTCCTGGAGGAGCATGAGCGAGTCTGGCCCTGGGGATTCCATCCCGCCCCACCCCCACTTAGACACGCTCACGCAGTGTGAGCATGTCTACCAGCCAGGCAGTACGCAACTACGTACTGATACTCATAAGAATAAAACTAACCTAATTAGAAAATACTGGACATTTATATGTTCGGTATTTTCTCAATTTATTTCCCGGACAGAAACTTCAAACACTGAACTGTCCGGTTCAACCCTATCAAGAGGCAGAAGGGGAACCTGGCAGAAGATGGGATTCCACAAACCTGTGGATCATGAGGGATTCCCAAGAAGCTCCCTTGCCTCTGCACCACCATGCAGTCCCTGCAAGCCATGAACAGCGCCACTCCTGAGACAGCCATGCTGCTGTGACTGGCTCTGCAACCAGCTTTAGGGCTTGGTGGGACAGCATTAAGATACTGTGACTTGAAAGAGAATCTTCTGAACTGTCATTCATGCTTAAATTTGACACTTTATGCCTAAGTTTGAATAAAGACTTTAATTATCTTACCCATTACAAAGATAGCTTCCCCAATTATCACCTCTAATATCATTAGCTCACAGACATTTACCTTTTTGGAAAGTATCTTCTACAGGGCTGGCAAAGCAGGGTGTAGGTGGCATTCCTTTTCCTCACCCGTCAGGCTCCCTGAATGCATTTTTTCCCTCCTCACAGTAGTGGTGGGGAGCAGAGTGGCCAAAATGGACCCGATATCTTGTTGTTATGATATAATAATCTTTGACTTTAATGGCCCTGCTAAATATTAACAAGACCACCAGCTGGACTTCTGAAACATTCAGGAACATGGGGTTTGTTATCCTACGTCAGAGCACTGATCCAAGGGATCTGGGATCCTGTGTCCAGGTCTCTATAGCAGCACAATAGGAAACATTTCAGTAGTCCAAGAGAGATGACCAAACCAAAGGAAACTTTTGCAGACATTTTTATTTCAGTATATCAGTGTGTCTCTCTCTGATCATCTCATAACAACTACAGGCTAATTCTTCTCACATCCTGATCTAATTCTCTTTCTGCTGGTGAAGATCAAGCATGTGTAGCTCATCTGTTTGACGTACAATCAAAAGGGGAAAGGACGTCACAATCTCACAGTGCCTATTAACGCAACTCTCCCTTCCGCCTCCTTACTCCTAATGCAATGCAAATTGGAGGCAGTGGTTTATTTTTGTAGCATTAGCCCCACCTCCTCTAAAGTTAGACGCTGCATGAAACAGACCAGCTAATTTGGACCAAGAATTTCAATTGCTTGGAAAATGAAGGTGCTAAAAACCAAACAATATCAGCAGGAGTTTTTGCTTCTAAACATATGACTTGTCAGGTACTAAAAAGTATCTAATTGATGTGCTGTTTTCAGACTTCCAAAGATGAGCTAAAATTCTTTGTTAGTGCTTCCTGGAGAAAGTAAAGACAAAGTGAAGAAAAGACTATCACTCTTTGAGTGTTTTGTAGAAAAAATGAGCATAATGGGATTTTAGTTTGAATTTAGAAGTCATTTTCCTTAACAGTTAAGGAGATATGCTATATACATCCTCTAAGAGGATTAAGAAAATATACACATTTAATTTTGAACATCAACATTTTATTGGTCACTAAATTAGTATGATTGTTGTATTTCCATTTACTTGAATGGGTATGGTATTATTGTCTTTTAGTGGACTTACTTAATCTTCAGTCCTATACTCTACAAGAGTCAGCATATCTGTTCAGTAGACTGTCTGACATGCCTGGCCATAGTCTGATCTTGACATCTTCCCTTCTAGGATGATTATTAATATAATAGCAGTCTAGGGAATTGTCTGGCATGGTGAATTAGTAATAGGCTGTAATCCTTTTCACCCCCTGGTTGCCAGTTTGACTCCAGCCTAGATTAGTAGTCATTTACCGTCACCATCTGAGGTTTGCTTGGGAGCCTAAATGAGTTGGTGGTTTTCAGGCCAGTTTCTAATGGAATTGTGCCCACATCATAAAAATCATCACCACCGTTGACACCACAACGTGCAGCCATGACAATTTAAGCAAATGGATTTCAGCCAGTGACAGAATGGGCCTTGCAGACCAAACTTCTCTCCCCCTTGGAGGCCATTCCTGGAGGAGGGGGAAGGAGTATCTTTGAAGGAGTGTGCTATTACATATACATCCTGTGACAAAACTTTATTATTTTTACAAATCACATATAGGTCCCTAAATCTTATAGTCTGATTCAGGCAAATACAAAATAGACCATAGTGCGAAAAGTACACATGCAGACAAAAAAAAAATAAATGTTGAGGCAAAAGGGTTAAAGGAGACAGTCAAAACCTGTTGAAATTTTTCATACCCTACATTATCACAGTTTCATAGGATCTGTGAAAGAGTAAAGGTTTTAAGAGAGATTTGAAGAAGGAGACAGCTCTTGGAAGAGACTATTACAACAGAAGGGAGAAAAAATACATGAAGGTGAGAGCAGCAGGAGGAAACAAAGGGAGCATTAAGGAGAGGCTTGGGCAGAGCATATGCAGCTTGGAAGGATTATGGGAGGAAAGCAGGAGGAGCAAAGCTGTGCAGAGCCTGGAAAAGGTAACAAGGTTGGCATCAGCTCGGTGCTGCAGAAGATGACCATGTTAGCTGCAGCAATATGAACATGGGTAGAGAGTGAAAAGAAGGCTCCTTATTGTGAATCCTGACACCCTTCAGAGTACTAGTCATCTGAAAATTTATTTTTTTCCATGTTCCACTCCTTACCACTTCCTCCAGGCTTTAGTGATTTGTTTAGAAAGCTTTAGGAAAAAGTCCTTCCATTGCAGAAACCAAAGTACTCAATACAATGTCACATGCAGGAAACTGTGGGATTTAGTCATATCTAAAGATAATAGGGTCACAAGTGTTTCTATATTTACTATCACAGCTACGAAGGGAAATGCTGATTTGCAGGTTCCTATTCAGACACACCATGTGCTGTGATGACCTGTACTTGCCAAGTCTGGCATACAACCAAGGGTGGTGGTTCTACCTGGGGGGGAACACTGTAATTGCTGGTGTGCAGCACAGTGTATTCAAAGAGTGATATTAACCTATTTAGAAACAGAGATGTGTTATAGAGCTCTTTTTAGCTTAAAGCACTTTACAAAAAATAATTAAGCCACACTCCACCTCTGTGCAATGGTATTGGGACATCCACTTTACTGATGGGTAACCTGAGGCATAGAGACATAAGTAAGAGCCTAATTCCCAATCACCTGCTCAAAGCACATGACAATACTGTTCTCATCCATCCCAACACTAAGTCACAGAATCTCCATTAAACTAAAGAACTCTCAAAAGGCATTGACTGATGCAATTGCTGGGACAAGTCCTGTCCTATTCTGGTATGTACTCTGGGGAGGTTGCATTGTATGGCTTGACCTTGGTCTGCCCTCCCCTTCCTTGCCTCATCTCTGGTACTCAGTCCAGACCATTGGGATTCCATGCATTTGTTTCATCATCAGCTGCTGAAAAGCAAGTGGCTGAAACTCACTGTGTACTCACTATTAAGCTTCTAAATGCACTCTCCTCAATTTAAAGAACAGGGAATGCTGGTTATGGGTATCTATATATTTTATGAGTTGGGTTTCTGTTGACCATCTCTCTTACATTTTGAAGAACATTATCATTTCTTGTTAGTGTTCCACACCCTTTGTTTTGCTAATGAGATACTAAAAACATTTCATCAGAGAAAAACATGGTTACAAGGAAATCATGCAAAGGAGGACATAATAAATGTCTGATTTTTGTACCATGGGTAGAGCGTTGCTGGGTGGTGTCGCTTAACTGTAACCTTTGTCCTGAGCTGTTACATGTGGTTTGTTTCCTTGATGTACTCAACCTCACTGGGCTGGGTTGTGGTTTGCATGTTTTAGGAGCCAACGATAAAGGCCTGAACTGACAGGAGACATTTCCTTGGTGCTCAGTTTGCACAGGAAGGAGGCCACAAAAATGCCAAATATATCTCCTTCTCCCTTTTCTGGATGCTCCTCAGTAATCTCTCTCACTGGAGATTTTTTTTTCAAGAGCCCTCTGAAGACCTAGCACTTTGCCTGTGGAATTCTCCAGCTGATCTGTCGTTTCAAAGACATTTCCGAGGGGAAAATTGCCCCCCTGCACAGGCACCCCCTATAATTACTCAGTTGGAAACACTGGAGTTGATCTTTGTTCATCCCGCCTCTCTTCCCTGCAGCTCCCTCCCGAGGAGCTGTCATCACCGCAGCTACAGGCTGCAGCTGCTAACGCAAAAGGCTTGTGCCGGCCGTTGCATCAGCAAGCAGCCCAGATTCCATGATGCTCTGGAGAGGCTGGGGTTATCCAGCAGCCGCTTTACTGGAAGCCGCGGGAGCAGAGGGAGAGTGTGACGCTGCGTGCTGGACTCAGCGCCGCCCGGCTCAGCCGCCAGCCAGCGCGCCCCTCCCAGGCATTACTGGAAGGGGCGGCCCCTCCGCAGCAGGGCGGAACGTGTGTTTCTGCGGCCACTTGGCGGGGGAACAAGGAGACAAACATGCTTTGGTGTCCGGGCGGGGAGAGGCGCAGCCGGTTCTGCTCGTATCCCCCCTCCTGGCGCGGTTGGGTCGCTCCGCGGGAGGACTTGGCTGCAGCCAGCTGGGCCGAGGGGGGAGTGCTGGGAAGGGCGGCCCCTGTTCCGAGTTCCCACTCTCTCCCCCTTCCGCACGTACCGCTCTGCCTTCCCCCCAGCAGCCCTGTGTGTTTACTCGCGCTGGTGGGAAGGGCTTGAGTAAACAAAGCGTGGAGAGCGCCTTTTCCAGGGCAAGGGCAGCGCCTCCCCGGCGTGCGCACGGCGGTTTTACTCGTGACCAGCAGCTACCTTTGGCGGTAGAGCCCCGCAGGCGGAGGAGAGCAGCGTTAGGGTCCGAGCCCTAGGAGGGCGAGGAAACAAATCCGCCTCTAGCGCAGCCGAGCCCCCTACAAAACGAGGTGCCGGGTGTTGCGTCCGCCAGAGAAATGCCTGCACGGGAGCGCGGACTTTCCTCGCCGCTCCTGCTCCAGGCAGCGTGTCCTGCCCAGAGAAGAGCAGCGAGGGGAAGCCGTGCCAAAGCGCACCGCACGCAGGGCCTCGCAGCCAGCCGCCGGAGCGCGCTCTCCCTCCCCTCCTCGGCAAGGACACCGCTGGAGCCAGTGGCACGCACACACACACGCTTCAGCGCCCGCCCAAGGACAGCTCGGGTCCGATTGCGCACGGACCGGCTCCCCTCCCTCTCCCCACGCAAGGACAACGCTGGATCCAGTGCACACACGCACCCCACCCCCCTTTCCAGCACGGGGGCAGCTGCGGATCCAGCCCCCGTTTTGGCACGGCCGGGCGGCAAGCGAATGCTGCTTCCCCGCGTCTCCCCTGCTCCGATCCGGTTCCCCTTTAAGCGGGGCCGATCTGGCGCGAGCGAGTAGGGAATCCCTTTCGGGCCGCGTCATCCTAACCAAGGAAACCCGCGCTGGCGTCGTGCAACGCAAATGACCATCTTTGGCAACGTGCGCCAATGGACGAGACTAAAGGCCGCCGCGGAGTGGGGGTAGTGGGTGGGCTCTGACAGTAACAAAGCAGGCGCGCTTGGGCCCAGGGTGCTCTCCCCGCTGCACAGGGGATGGTCTCTCCCCGCGGGGCTCTGAGATTGGTTTGCAGGCAGTGGGCTGGGTTCGGCCAAATCAGATTCTGTGGGCGGGGTGAATTTCCCCCTCCCCCTGCCAGGTGGGCGACTCCCTCTGGTAAGGTGGGGCTTGGCGAGCTGGGAGTTTGACGTGTGTGACTCCACATGGTACAGCTCTCCGAGGAGGGGATGGATAATAGGAGTGTGGAGTTGAACTAATGCCATTGCACTGACTCATCCAGGGAGAGTAAAGGAGCTCAGAGAACAAGATACCAGGAGAGACTCAGGCAGAGAGAAAGAGGGGGGCAGGCGACACGGGGGGAGAAGAGAGACTCACGCGCGGGCAGAGAAGGGCAGGTAACAACTGTAAAGATCAATAATTAAAAGAGCTTAAAAAAAATCAAGAGGCTAAAATCCTGGACTGACTCATCCAGTCCGGCTAGAGCAGGGACCTGGCACTTTTATACAAGACTTAATTAAATAAGCAAAAAAGCCTCTTGATTGAAAACTACAGAGTCAGAGAAGCTTCAAAACCAGAACAAATATTCACAGGAAGTTTGAAGAGGGGAGCAGAGACAAGTTTTAAGCGTGTGTGTTTAGGTCTTTCCCCTCCCTTTTTTTTTCTTCAGAGCAAATGTAATAGATTTTTAAGACTTTTTTTAAAGAGACATCTAATTATACTTTTTGCGGGAAATTTTAAATCCACGGCTTTTATTTTTATTTTTCTGAACGCACCGAAAACCTCAGATTAAAGAGACTGCCTCTGTTCTGTGAAGTGGGAAATATTTTTCGCCAGTCTTGAGTGAAGGAAAAAGTTGAGGAAAGGGCTTTATTTTTAACTATTTAAAAACAACAAATCCTTACGTGCAGCTAGAAGGCAGAAAATAAATTTAAAAAAAATCAGGCGAGAGAGGCGGAGAAATAGAGCGTGCGTGTGTGTGTGTGTGTGTGAGAGAGAGAGAGAGAAGGAAAGAACATCGTGTTTCTCTCCGTCTTCTACCTCGGATCATGTACCAGGACTATCCCGGGAACTTTGATACCTCCTCCAGGGGCAGCAGCGGTTCCCCAGGCCACGCAGAGACTTACTCCAGCGGGACAGCACAACAGGTAGGGGTGGTCACATGCACCTTGCCATACAACTGACATGATCAAGCTTCTCTTTTCCCTTCAGTGCAACTTTCTTTCTGATCGCAACGGAGCACCCTCTGCTGTGGGAGCCAAGGACCGTAGGTAACACAGTTCTACCTTCCACTTTGGGCACCGAGTTTTACTTTCAAACCAGGTCTCTCTCCTCTTCAGCAGAATAAAATACTATAGTGTGGTTGTGTGCGAAATCTGTGTGTAACATCCGTGTGACATTATTGTGCTTTTTGTGGGCCATCTTCCTGTACTAACTTTTTAAAAAATCGCCTTAACTAGATAGTAAAGTTCACTCGCCACACCCAGTCCACTTTGTGAGAGCCTTTATCAGACTTCTGCCTAGTTGGAGATTAGGGGAAAAATAGGTACTGCCTATCCTTTGGCACTCCCGAGTCCATTTCGAGTCCACGCCTTAAATGGAGGGGGAAAGCAACTTCTGTCTTTGCAAGAGTTTGGGCGTTTTGGTGTGAGTGTAAATAATGAGGAATCTAATCTACGGATTTACATGACGCCAGGTTAGGAGAGCGAGGCAACTTTTAATCGCCTGTGCGGCTAAGTGTGGGGAGTTTGCGCGTGTTTGCGAGTTGCTTTCGACTTCTTGAAATTCCCGTCTCCGCGCAGACATCCAGTTGCTGCCAGCGGGGGTCTGTGCTGACACGCACACCCTCCTCTTGCCGCGACCATTCCTGCGGGGTCAGTCACACCGCGGCTTTTGCTGTCCTCTGCTGGAGTTAATTTGGGACTGAACGAAGCAACCTGTGTGTGTGAGAGGGAGGGAGACGACAATGCCTGTACTTTCATTTTATGCTTGCTGTGGGGATTGGAAGCTGTGTGTGTTAGTGTGGATTCCTGGTGGATTTCCTAGTGGGAGTAATTACAAAAAAGGAGAGTGTATTAAAATGACTTTAATTTGTCTCTGTGTCTAGGGAAATGTGTATGTGTTTATATATAAATACATGCAGTATGTTGTGCATATACTGTATGACTGCTGCTCTGCACCTTATGTGCATCTTGAATGTATGCAATGAAATTTGCCTTGCTTCTCCTTATATGAAATGTTTCACAGTGCCAAAAATATCAACTCTTACTCTGCTTTCCACTAAAATAGTGTTCTTTTCTATAATTATCCCATGTTCTAGCTGAGTGTACCTACCAACTATGTAATCAATCAGGCACTGAAGATTTGGAAGTCAGAATCCCTGATTTTTTTACTTGTCCTTGGAAGGTGAAGGGAATGCAATGTAACCTGAAATACTGCCAGCTCTGTAGGATTTCAACCAACATTCCACTCAAATTAAATGGTGCTAGTTCCTATTGTTTACATTTATATTTCAAAATCGATGGCATTTCAGTATCTTGATGAGAGACAGGACAGCAGGAAATAGGAGGGTCTGGATCAATTGCTTGAGTAAAAAGTGCAGAAGTGGGTTCTTAATCTTTACACAAGAGAGTCACACTTTAATCTCTGATTTCAGATTGCTCCCAAACCCTGTAGATAAGAAGTGAATTTCAAAGTAGAACAATAGCTTTAAGATAAGAGTGGGGGGAGTGTTCCCCTGCTTCACAAACTCTCCTGGAAAAGACACTTTGTTTTCTACTCAGATAACTCATATGGTATGACTGACCACAAACCTGGTATCTATAGGTGTAAGCAATTACAATCAAGAGACTCTTAACTCTTCTTAAATGTAAACTTGAAAAGAACACTAATGGTCTTTGGGTCACAGTTCTGTTTGGGACTTTTCACTTACCTTATTGAAGTAGTTTTTCTTTTTTAGTGTAAAAACTGAAAAGAAGATACTTAAAAAAAATAATTCTGTCCACCCATAGGTGGTAGAGAATCATTGGCTAAGCACAAAGCAAGTGATGGCTTGTGCAACATGCATGTAGGTTTTTTTTTGTTTGTTTGTTTGTTTTGTTTTTTGCAATTGATAATAGTATGCTGCACTATGGAAATCTTGCTTCATTTGTTACCTTTCAGCAATAATAGTTTACAGTTAAGGAATCCTCATGTCAATATTTTTAATAAGTTACCAATAAAATCTGTGAAGTTCTCCCCTGTCTTGTTTAATTAGTTCTTTCCTCCTCCACCATGTTCTACCAAGTAGACAAGTTATTTTGGGAGCTGAACCAAAACAACATTACTTCTTTGACATCAATATGCTATTATTTTTATATATATTTTGATACTCAGTCTCAAGGTCCTTTACTGCAAGGGAGTTAAAACATACAGATAATCTCTTTTTAAGTACACTTTATTTGATTTGGAAGGTGTTTAAAGAATTTCAGCAGAGCATGTCTCTTTCCCCCCCATTAATAGTGTCTGTCTGTGAGATGGAATGTGTTTTTGTACCAGCCAGGGTTTCTCCGTACCTAGGGAGTGATATTTTTGCTTGCTTCTGGTATTCAGACATTCCTTAGCTCACTGATTGCTTCTTGTTGGTATTTACTGTTGATCATTTTTCCTGTTCTTTTGACCCACAGAAGGCAATCTCATACAATGCTCATGGGATTTAGTTACATTTTTGAGATAACTTTTCTTGTTTTAAGGTTCTGGTATTGAATAATATTGGAACTAGAAGAATGGAAGATATTTCCTGTTGCAGTTGCGTGGCTTATATGAATCTAAAAGGCTGGCCATTTTTTTTAATGGACCTTTTAATTTTCCTAGGAAAACACCCCAGAAAGACTTATGTGCCCACACAAACAAACTCCATGGCTTCTGTGGAAAGGATTACGCAATCGGGCCAGTTACACAAACCTAGCTTATTTCATAACTTGTTTACATCAGCTGGCCTTCTCTCTTCTTTCTCCCTCTTTTTTTTCCCACCAGGGTTGCTTCATCTCCCTCCCTCAATTATTATTTATTGCATAATTTGTGCAAATTAACTAGCAAAGTGGGAGACGTATGAAGAAGTCATAAGATCATTTTTAAAAATTGCTCTGTATTAAACTTTGCCAACAGTACCAGTCTGTGACATTTCTCACATCAAAGAACTTTTACCAGAAATGACTCAAAGTTTCCCAGCTCACTCCAAATATGCTTCTTTGGTGCCCTCTATAGGATAATCCCAGTAGAAATTCTTCCAGGGATTGTAGTTTGGAATCAGATTATTCATTCATTTTCAGTAAATATGAGGAGGAGGAGGAAGGGGAGGTTGAGAAATTTAACATGCTTGGATTGCTTGGAGCTCTTGTTTTTGGTTTGTGTGTTTCAAATTAAATGCCTACAATAGATCAAGTGAATTTGGAAGAGGCTATGACAAGTGGTTGGGTTGAATGTGTAAATTAATGATGTCTGAAAATGCGCTGTATTTATTTTGTTCCTTGTTTTTCTTTCAACAGTGAGAGGGAGTTTATATGAATGCCAGAATACAGTTTGTTACTATTTCAATAGGTCTTAGATCAGGACATGAGTTCAATAAGTGCATAAATGGTTTCTTTAAAAAATCTGGGAGACTTCTCAGGGCCCTTGTGTATCACCTTCCCCTGAATACTTGCAGATTTTGTACAGTAGGATCAAACAGAAGCACCTAGGAATTGGTCTGTTCCACTTTGTACTGTAGGAAGCTGCGATTTTATTACCAAATAAAAAGCATAACTGGCAAAAATGACCCACAGAAGGCAATCTCATACAATGCTCATGGGATTTAATTACTTCTTTCAGATAACTTTTCTTCTTGTAAGGACCTGTGGTACCTTGGAGAGTAACAAAAATATATATAAAATCATGAGCAAAACCCACTTCAGAGTGATACTCAATATACTATATATATTTTTGTTAGTCTCTAAGGGCACATCTACACAGCAGGGCAAAAGTCAAATTAAGATATGCAACTTCAGCTACATCAATTGGGTAGCTGAAGTTGAAATAGTTTAATTCATCTTTTGGCGCTATGTACACAGCAGGAAGTCGAAGGAAGAACACTCTTCCTTCAACTTCCCTTACTCCTTGTGAAATGAGGGTTATAGGAGTCAGAGTACGTAGTCCTCCATCTCGACCTTATTTCAAAATAATGGCTTGCTGTGTAGACACGCATTTTGTTATTTTGAAATAACGTCAGTTATTCCGAAATAATGCTGCTGTGTATACCTACCCTAAGGTGCCAGAGGACTGTTGATTGTTTTTAAAGTTACAGACTAACACCACTACCCCCCTTTATACTGGCAAAGTTTTCTTTTGAGAAAAGAAGGCTGCATCAGTCATATGTTTCAGTGGAAATCGTCTTTTTGAGCCAAAGCTTTGATGCTTGTAAATGCTATCCATACAGTACAGTGCTGTGACTTTTAAAATGTTATATAAAATAATTCTATTCTTAATAACGAACTTGCCATGTGGTGAATATGGAATTTAATTAGGATAATATAGTACATTTACTCTTTCAGACTTGAAGATTTCCTCCTACATACTATCCCAATGAAATCCTACACCAGCAAGAAAACTATTCCTATGAGAAAAGCTTGCAATATTGGGCTGTTAATTTATCATGAGATCATTGGGTTAGAGGGGATCAACCTTCCGGGGTTCGTGGACAGTAGTGACTCACTTGAAACAGCTCCCCAGTAAGATGAGGAAGGGGAAGTGCAGTCCCCTTCAGCCTGAAATATCACACAGTTACTGTTGTGTATATATACAGGTCTTGGTGACCCACTGATCTAGCCCATCCCTCTCCATTTTGTTATCTTTGCAATGTCTCTGGGAGCTGGAGCTCGGGAGGCTATCGCCCAGTCCCATGTTTTAGATTATAATAGAAACAGACCTTGGCCTTTTTATAATGAAGCAGTGGGAGAGCTAGAGAAGGGTTTGTCTTTTACCAGGGAATGCAATGGTATCTTGATCTGCATGTTGCTTAGGGCAGTGCAAGGGTGATGGCTCTGCAGTATTGCAGTAGTTGTACATTCCAGGAAAGGGTGTGGGGATCTAAAGGGTGCAATATTACCATTTTGCTATTGCTAAACATTGTATATAGTGCCATGAATCTCCATGGCACTTCAGGAACATAGACACCAAAGAACTTGCAGGCTAAATAAAACAGAAGACACCTAATCAGGAGAAGGGTGGGTAGGAGATTACAGCTGATGAGATGAAT